TACTTGGACCCTGCATGTAGCCAAGTCTTCATTTAGCAGCCTGCCATGTTTTCTGCTGCTCTTGGAATTGTTTCTGGACTTGAATTAATGGTCTGCCATATTGTTTGGTAATACTGGGACTGTGCCATTTTATTTGCTGACCTTGGGCTTGTTAGCCTCAGCAGCCAGCCAGCAGCTGCCTGAGTGAAGAGACACCTCTAGCTCAGTGTGCCAGGAGTAAGAGGCAGAGCTTAAGCCCAAGGTTGAGGGGCTTTCAGCCAGCCCCTAGAGCCTGGCACCAGGAATTCAGACTTCTAACCTCCAAAATTGTAAGAGAATAAACTGCTGTTTGTTAAAGCCATCCCATTTGTGGTATTTCTGCTAGAACAGCATGAAGTAACCAAAACAGCATCCATGCAAGGCACAACTATTGGTCTCTATTCACCTGGAGCTACAGAGGAAGGAGAGTCAGAAATAGGAGGAAGATATGGAATATGTGACTGATTACCTGCATGAACAACCGCCTCCTTTGCCATGAGACCAGAGGAAGTAGATGGTGCCAAACTACCATTACTGAACATTTTGATCAAAGATTCCATAGAAGAATCCTGATCAAAAGGGGGGAAATGCAGAACAATATTTAAAATTCTCATGGACTACAGACTTTCTGGAGCCATGGAAGGTAGATGAACCCCAGAAACTATTGTGCTGAGATAATCTTTAAAATATTCCCTGAAGTCTTCTTAAAACCAAACACGAGTTTAGCTGAACTAGTAAAAAAGTATATTTGAGCATTATGCACTTCTAAGAACTATCTATATAGGATCAAATTGACAGCAGCAGCTCAAAAGAGTAGATAGGAACCTTAGAGGGCAGTGAGTTTATGTTAATGGTGGAGAAACAACTCAGAAAGGGAGGATGAAAATGGCTGCAACTTGAAGAATGTAATCTATGACACTAAACTGTAGATGTAGAAACTGTTGAATTGGTGTATGTTTTGTGTATACTCTCAACAGAACAACAACAAAAAGACTCCACTCAGGGTCTTTCAGAGCCATAGAGTGTTCCAGCCCCCAATATCCCTCAGGTCAGCTCTGACCCCTGTGTCTGGCTGCTGGTCAACTGATCTTAGGCCATGCCAGACACGTTCTTAGTGGCTTCAGCACTGACCCTGGCCCCAAAATAGCTGTGGAAAGCCCCAGCTCCATACCTGATTCAGGCTACTAAGGCCCAAGGTGAGTGGGGAGCCTGCAACAGACCCACTCCTCCCCTGAGCACCCACAATCATCCTGCCTACCCCAAGAACCCATCAGCAGGAGGCACAATTCAGACCCCTTACCCCGAGGGAGCCTCATGGGGGCTATAGGGGTAGTTGGCCCAGCTATGTGGCCAGTGTGGGAACAGGGGCTTCCTAGAGGAAGGCCAGAATCATGAGCCTTGAAGTTAGAGTAGAAGCTGTCTGGAGAGGGCTTAGAGGCTGTTCAGGAAGAGGGTGTGAATCACTTCCTAATTGTCAGAGCAGCACACACCTTTAGGTAGCAGCTCACTCAGTGCACAGTGGCCCTCTGAGGGTCTGATTGTCATCATCTTAGAGGTAAGGACACAGGCACAGAGAAGTGGAGTTACTTCATCAGGTCACATAATGGTAAGAGGGTGTGGGAGCTAGTGGTGCAGTTGAGCATTGCTCAGGGTTCCACATTATGAGCTCTGCAGGCTAGTGGACATGCATGAGGGCAGCTTTGTGACCTGAGGGTGACCATTAGTGTCCTAGGGCACAATTCTGGAGGCTGGGGGACTGTTCAGGGTGTCAGTAGGGCCATGCTCGCTCCAAAGGCTCTAGAGAAGAATCCTTCTTTATCCCTCCAAGTGTCTGGTAGCTCCAGGCATTCCCTGGTTTGCAGGACAGCATCACTTCATTGTCATGTGCCATCTTTCCTCATCTATCTCTGTCTCTTTGTGTCTCTTCCTCTCTTTTATAAGTAAAATGGGTTTGGGGGAGCTCTGGTAGTGTAGTGCCTAAGGCACTTGACTGCTAACCAGAAGGCTGGCGGTTCAAACCCACCAGCCACTCCTTGGAAGAAAGATGGGGCAATCTACTTCTGTAGTGATGCTGCCTCAGAAACCCAAGGAGGGGTCTCTATGAGTCAGGTATGACTCGACAGCAGTGTGTGTATGTGTGATCTTAATATCTTCAAAGACCCTATTTTCAAACAAGGTCAAGTGCATAGGTACAGGGTTAGGGCTTCAACATGCCTCTCGAGGGCACGCAATTCACCCCACAATAGGGTATATTCCTGCCCTTATCCAGCCTCAGTTTCCACATCAGTAAAATGGGGACAATGCAGGCAGTCACCAGTGGCACTGCAAAGAGCTTTCTTTTTCCCATGTCCTCACTTTCAAACCAGCCCTGCACATACTCTCACTCTCCCAGTGTAGGGCAGGACAGGCAGGGTTATGAGAGACCACTTTGGAGGGTATGGTCACAACAAGCTGTGAAGGCCACAGGTGGCTACATGCTGACGACTCCCGTGGGGTTCTGTGGATTTGTTGGAGATATCCAGCCCCTTAGGAACTTTTATCCACAGCCCCATTGGCCCTGCCCCACCCCTGTACCTTGCTAGAGTTCTCCTTCCCCACTACCCTGACCCAAAGGAAGCCTAACTTTGGGCCCTGTCATATTCCTAGCCCAGTCCTCTCTGTTCACTCCACTATGAGAGAGCTCTTTTCTCAAGACTAGCCCAAGCTAGTTTAGTGCCAGTCTCAAGGTACCCTGAATTTTTGGAGACTCAGGCCTAGCTCTCCAGATGGTTCTCTTGAGCCCTTTCCCCCCAGCAACCACACTCACCCCCTCCCCTCCTGGAGACCCTCCCAGTGCTCACACAAGTTGCCAGAGAAACCCCCATCCCTCCTTCACACTCCTTCTTGCCTCCTCCTTTGGATAACGGAGTGGGGAGATGGGCTAAGGGTACCCCACCAGTTTTAGGGGCAGCAGCAACCTAGACCCTCACTTCTGAGAGTAAGGGTTCACTTAGAAGCACTCCTTGAGATAAGAATGTGAGGACAAGTAACTTACTTCCGAGTGAAGGGAAGGAGTCATAATGGATATATTATGGACATAATTACCCACTGTGGACAACTCGAGTCTAATTTTCCTGGGGACCCCCAGAAGACAGTATGGAACATGTCCCAGAATTATCCCCCCAGGGATGAGGGAGCTCACTACTCATATCAGATATTGCTTGACAGTGTTTCCAGGGCTCCAGTCCTTGGTAGGATCACCAGTGTGTGTACATTTAGCAGCCTTCATCACGTAAGTGACAGTGGGGGATATTGGTAGGGCAACAACAGCACTGCCACTGCACCTAACAGCCTTTGATTTTCACTGTGAGGCCTCACCACAACCTGAGACTACAGGAAAAGTCTCACCTCATATTGGCCATCTATGCCAAGCTCGGTCTGATTCAGGAAGCATTTGCTGAAGGAGTGAAAGGCCCTGCCCTAGGACATTAATGCTCACCCCCAGGTCACACAGCTGCCCTTGGTCTACCTTGGCCACTCTGGGTCTCAATTTCCCCACTTAAACAATAAATCTAGGCTAAAACACTGGTGCCAGGAAGCCAGTCAGAAACCCCCTAGCCCCTCAGATAGGCAGGGCCCAAAGAGAGCAGGGCTGCTTGGCACGTCACAGCAAGGTGGGCCAGGATAAAAGTTGGGTCCCAGTGTTCACCCCCAGACCCTGTTCCTTGAGCTGTGCTATTTCCTCCAATTGAGGGGCTGAGGATCCTGCAAGAGTATAAGCATTTACCAGATACCTTCTGTAGACCCAGTATTGTTTGGTCAGCAGGAAAACAGATTTGTACCTGTGCATAAGCCCATGTGGCCTCAGTCTGTGCATCTATGAAATGAGTACAGGGAGAACCTTCTCTCATTATCAAGTCAATGCTGCTATTACTTTTGTTGTTAATATTCTATTTATTTTTCTTTCAAAATTCTTTTAAAAAAAAATTTGTTGTGATTTGAGTGAAAGTTTACAGAGCAAATTAATTTTCTATACAGTAGCTCACATACACTTTGTCACTGACTGCAATTTACCACTTCCTCCCCATGGTTATCTCTTCCCTGTGTCCTTCCCTCCCATGTACTCCTTCTGCCCCCCGAGTTATCTCCCTGTGCATAAACAGCCCTTCTATTCTCCCATGATTAATCTCTCTAAGGAATGTATCTACCTAATGTAAATGTTCAGCTCATATACCTACCTGTCTTTTGTTTGGCTGGAAGCCACAGGACTGGGTTCAATTTCAGACCTGAAGGGCAGCTAGGGGCCATAGTGTCAGGGGTTCCATCAAGCTCTATCAGACCAGCAAACCTGCCCCCCCTTTTTTTTTAGTTTTGAGTTTTGTTCCACGTTGTTTTCCCACTCTATCCAGGATCTCCTACATAGATCCCCCTCTGAATGGCTGACAGTGGTAGCTGGACACCATCTAGTTCTTCTGGTCTCATTGTCATATAGGCTGAGGATCACATGGTGTACCAGTCTCTTGGACTAATTGTTTCCATGCCTCTTTGGTTTTCTTCATTCTTCTTCGCTCTGGATGAGGAGAGACCCATTGTTGCATCTAGATGGCTGGTTGTAAACAAAGCTGCTATTACTTTTACTTTTGCCATCCATTGTTTATATTTTTTTTACTTTTAAGCATCCATCATCTATAACTAAAAAGCTTGGCTGAGGTTGGCTGGGTCTTTTTCTGTTTTTATCAGGATATGTGTTTGCCTGATGTGATGGGAAAGGCTTGGGCTCAGAAACCAAAATACTGGAATTGAGTCCCAGCTCCTACCTGCCACAGCTCTGTGACTATGGGTCCATTGCTTCTTTGTTTTGTGCCTTAGTTTCCCCATCTGCTAAGTGGGTGTGGTCATATACCCTGAATCTCAGGACTGCTGTGAGGTGGCATGTTGTGCCAGGCACCTGGGGGCTTCGGGGATGCCTGGCCTCAGTGTCTTCACTTGCACCTCTCCTGCAGGTGGTACTCAGGCAGGATTTCCCGGCAGCTGGCAGAAGAAATCCTGATGAAGCGGAACCACCTGGGGGCCTTTCTGATCCGAGAGAGCGAGAGCTCCCCAGGAGAGTTCTCCGTCTCTGTGAAGTGAGTGTTGACCCATGGGATGGGATGTGCAGGGGAAAAGGCCCAGGATTTTCACTGAGTGTGGGTGAAGGAAATGGGTCCCTCCCTGTAGCAGAAACAGCCAGGAATTCAGCAACAGTCTGGGGCCCATGGGAGTGACACCCAGCCCAGAGCATGGTCCTGAGCAGGGAGGTTGGGTGAGGGTGATATGGGGGGAGTGGTGCTTGGAGAGCAGGCTTAGACTTCAAAGGTCAGGCCGAGGAGTCAAACTTTACTCCAAGTGCAGTAAGGAGCCCTTAAGATTCTTTATCAAAGGAGGGAAAAGGTTCACTGTGCAGGGGGAAGAGGATGCAGTGGTGGATGTGGCAGGAGGGATGGGGTAGAGCAGCTATCCAGGATGTGCTCCAACAGGGACCCACTATATCCACAGCTATGTGACCATGTTGAGAGGATGGAGATTGCTTGGGTTGGAATTCTGGCTCTGCCACTTCCTGACTGTGTGAACTTGGGCAAGTCACTTAAACTCTGTGCCTGTTTCCTCACATATGATGAGTTATTGCAAGGAATCATTAAGTTAATTTATCTATAGCAATTATAGTCATGTTTGGAATTGAGGAAGGAGCTCTAGTGGTGCTGTGGTTAGAGCATTGGACTGCTAACCAAAAGATTGGCAGTTCAAACCTACCAGAGGGAAAAAGATGAGGCAATCTGCTTCCATAAAGATTTACAGTCTTGGAAACCCTGTGGGGCTGTTCTACTCTGTCCTAGGATTGTTAGGAGTTGGAATTGACTCAGTGGTAGTGGGTTTGGTTTTTGGGTTTGGAATTGAGGCAGAGTGCCCATGATGGGGGTGTTTGGCATAACAGCAGGGAAGCATCTCAGTCATGGCAGGGTAGCCTCTGAGTTGTGTTGAATTTCATCCCCAAAGCCAAGGCCAGAGTGGTTCAGGAATATGTAGGGTGGAGGGAACTGGGGATGGATGGGTAGGGAGGAGCAGCAGCAAAGGGATCAGGCCCTTGATGGGTCCCTGTCCTTCCTAGTCCTAGTGCTCAGACACAGCAAGTCCCAAATATTTATTGAGCTTTGTGCCAGGCTATTCCAGGGGCTGGAGAAGTGGCAGTGACCCAGACAAAGTTGCTGCTTTTGTGAGTATTATGTCTTAGTGGGAGAGACAGAGAGTAAACAAGAAACAAATACATAATGTTATGAGTCAAGGTAGCCAAGAAAGGCCTCTCAGAGGAGGTGACATTTGAGGCTCCTGGATGTCCCCGGAAATGAGGATCTTGGAGGGAGACTTCCAGGCAGAGAGAAGGGAAAGTGCAAAGCCCCTGGAATGCAAATGAACTTGGTGTGTTTAAGGAACCAGGAGATAGTGGAGGGGATGGGGGAGTAGAGTGGGAGTGACATTAAAGAGATGTTGTTGTTATTGTTGTTAAGTATCATCAGGTTGTCAACTGGTAAGGATGTCATGTACAATGGAAGGAAACACTGCTCAGTCCTACACCATCCTCACAATCACTGCTATGCTTGAGCCCATTGTTGCAGCCATTGTGTGAATCCATCTCATTTAGGGTCTTCCTCTTTTTTGCTGACCATCTACTTTAGCAAGCATAATATCCTTCTCTAGGGACCAATCCCTCCTGGTAACATGTTCAAAGTACAAGAGAAGTCTTGCTATCCTTGCTTCAAAGGAACATTCCAGCTGTACTTCCTCCAAGACAGATTTGTTTGTTCTAGCAGTCCATGGTACATGCAATATTCTTCCCCAACACCACAATTCATATGCATCAATTTTTCTTCAGTCTTTCTTATTGTCTAGCTTTCACATGCATTTGAGGGCATTGAAAAGACCATGGTTTGGGTCAGGTGTACCTTAGTCTTCAAAGTGACATCTGTACTCTTTAACACTTTAAAGAGGTCTTTTGCAGCAGATTTTCAAAAAGATGGGATGGCCCAATTACATAGGGCCAGACAGACCTAGCAAGGAGGTGGGGTTTATTCTTAGGGCAATAGGGAGTCATGGAGGGTTTTGAACAGAAGACTGAGTGTGATCTGATTCATTGGCTGCAATGAAGAGAAAGATCTGTTGGGATAAGCTTGGCAGCCTGGGATAGTTGACAGTTGTCCAGGCAGGAAGTAGTGGCAGCTGGGGGTGAGGAGAAAAGTAGCCAGTCTAAGAGGTAGGTGGGTCTCTGGAGGGGGTACAGACTGCCAAACCACTCCCCAGGATTTCTGTGAGTGCAACCCAGCTCCTGGGCTGTAGGGACACTGGCCACATCAGCTCTCATGGCTACCATCACAGCTGTTACTGGGTTGGTGGCTCTGCCAGTTGGAAGTAGGGGTCAAGTAGGAACACTGGAGGTCAGCTGCAAGTACTCTGGAATCATAGTCCATCCACTGTTGTGTCTGTTTCCTGAATATCAGGGTTGATTCACAGCAAATGTCTTGATAGTTTTCTAAAGTGTAGTCAAACATGGAACTACTTTGATGATTACAACTGGGCTGGACAGGAAGATATAAGTTTGATAGGGCTGAGAAGGAAAGGCTTGGGCAGGGGCTCTGTGTGTTATTCTTGTGCAGCCCCAGTCTGCCCGTAACGGCCACAATGTTGTTGTTAGTTGCCATCAAGTCAATTTTCAACTCACAGAGACCCCATGTGTGTAGAACCACCCCATAGGGTTTTCTAGGCTGTAATCTTTACAGAAGCAGCTCACCAGGATTCTACTGTGGAGCCACTGAGTGGGTTTAAACTGCCAACCTTTTGGTTAACAGCCTAGTGTTTAACCATTACACCATCAGAGCTTCTTCAGTGGCCTCATTAACACTCATGGGCAGAAAATATACCTGTTTGAAGGAGTGACACCATCTGTTGGGCCTCCAGTGGGTCCACAGGCCTGTCTGCAGTCAGCCTCATCAGGACATTGTGATTACTGCATCCACTGCTAGCCCCTTCGTCCTTTGTAACCAACCAGTTGCCATCAAGGAGACCACCAGGCCTTTTTTTTCCCAAGGCACCTCTGCACCAATCTTTTTAGTAGAGGCCAAATAATCCATTTGTACCACCCACGTTCTCCTTGGTCTTTGTAGTTGGCACGTTTCATCACGGGCAGAGAGGGCTTTCCTGGTGTAAAGGAGCAGGGGTTCTATACTCAGCTCATTGTGGTGAGCACAGAGTTTGTAACTAGCACATTATGTCTGTGTACTCCTGGTGGTTGTTGAAAGAGCTGGGAAAGCTCCTTCCTTATGAAAGTGAGCTAGTGTCCCCTTGAATCTAACTGCTACAGATTAGAGAGAAGAGCCCAGACGCGGATCTCAACTTGATGTTAGAAAGGTTTGTAGGTTCACCCAACCGTTCCAAAGGAGGACCAGTAGCCCTGGGGAATGGTAATCTCACCTGGGCCTGGAGGAGGAGCCCTGTGGATGGATACTTTGATCAGAAACACTGCTGGGGTGGGAGGTGTCTGCATTCAACATCATGAATGCTCATGATTCCCTACACTCGCACCACAGCACTCACCCTGATTTCCTATTATGAAGGTGTGTGTGGGGTCAACATTCAACACCATGAGTGCTCATGACTCTCCACAACAGTACTCACCCTGATTTCCTGTCATGAAGGTGTGTGGAGTCAACATCAAATCATGAGTGCTCATGACTCCCCCCAATAGCACTCACCCTGATTTCTTGCTGCTTCCAAAGCTATGATTCTATTTCCCTGGGAAACACCTCGTGTCCTTGAGGGGCTAGGATGGCTCTTGCCTTTCTAAACCCTTAAAAATGGAAGCACTATCAGCATCCTGGGGGAGATTGAGAAATACTGTGAGTTCTTGGTTCTGATCCCTAGCCCAGGATGGTCTTGGGGCCACTGGAATCTGTAGTACCCCCTATTTCCCCCTCATCTCCTTACCCAAACCCCACTCTACCCACCCACTGCTCCCTACCCCTGCAGGCCCTAGGGAGGAGCTGCTTCAGCAGAGGCATGAAGTGGCAGTTTTCCAAGTGCTGGCTGTTGGGAGCAGATGGGAAAGCGCTTAGTGATCTGAGAATGAGGAGAGCGTACTTCAGGCACAGGGTACAGCACATGCAAAGACCCAGAGGTGGGCAAGGAGGGGCATAAGTGTATAGCAAAATGTTGTCTGGCAAGCAAGGGAGATGGGCAGTACTAGGAAGCCTAAAGGAGTTCCTTTTTTTTTTTTTTTAACTGTTTATTGTGATTTGTGTGGAATTGTACAAAGCAGATTCGATTCAATTGTTCATACGTATTTTGTTCATCCCCACAACATAACAGCTCTCCTCCCTAGGGCAGTTCTTAAGCAGAAGAATGCTGGGCACCAAATTTTTCTGGGAAGGGGTCCAGGGCTTTCCCCTAGAGAAATCCTGATACATACTTCCCTACCCACCCACCCCCCACCCCCCAGGCATAGGGCCAAGGCTTCCTCCAGTCAGAACCAGTACAAGTTTCATGGGCTGTGATTTGTGCACACTGCCACTAGGTGGCACTCTTAACCCTCAGTTTCGCCCCAGCTGGGCCGGGCTTCTGCATCCTGCCCCCACCATTGGTCCTTCTTCTTTCATGGAGCCTTTAGCTTAATCTTTATAACTCACTGGCTTTTAACCCTGGGCAAGTTACTCTCTGAGCCTGTTTCCTCATCTGTATGATATAAAGTGCCTGACACGCAGTAACCAAAACCAAACTCACTGCCATTGAGTCGTTTCAGACTCAGTGACCCCTCCTTAGGTTTCCAAGGCAGTATCTCTATGGAAGCAGATTGCCTAGTCTTCCTTCTGAGAGTGGCTGGTGGGTTTGAACTGCCAGCATTCTGGTTAGCAGTCAAACGCCTTAGGCACTATGCCACCAGAGCTCCTAGACATATAGTAAGTGCTCCATAAATGCTAGTTATAGTAATTATCACTCATTACTTCCAAAGGCTACACAGTATGCTGAGGGTTCAGAGACTGTCCTGTAGGCCCCTGGAATACTGCTCCCACCCCCATCAATCCAGGCTTTTAGAGAAGGAGCAATGGCATGAGAAGGGAACACACCTCTCATCCTGACATCTTGGTCCTGTACCTGCTATGTGACCTCAGGCTGGCCCTGTCTTGCTTGTGGCTCTCATCTCCTCACTGTGTCATGGGGATGGGACAGTCACCCCAGCACTGCAGGAAAAGGTTGGCTCGGCAGACGTGGGTGAGGGCTTCTGTGCCTTTACTGGCCCAGTCCTCAGGGACCCCTGCCCATCCCAACCCCCACATATGGCAGTTCCTGCATGCACATGCCAGCCTCATAAAGGTGGAGTTTATGGGCCTCACATGGTAACAATGCCCTTTACAAGTGGACATGAGGCTGTCCCTCCAACTCTTAGGCAGCACATCAGAGCTGGCAGCAGGCCAATCAGGGCAAGGCAGGAGCTACACCATGCTTGGTAACTTTGCCGCCATACTTGACCCGGGCCCTTGTTCTCAAGTAAGGTGCTTCTGTTCCAGCCAGAGGTGCCCCGAATCAATGCACATGTGTTTGCTCTGCTTGTGCATTCAGCAGAGCCACTGAGCACTGATGTACCAGGACCTTCCAGCCATCAGCCACAGACAACTGTGGCAAAGCTCCTATCTTTTATACCCTCATTCTGCAGAGGTGACTGACAGAAAACATTAGATTATATAAAATCATGAAAGATGATAAAGACTTTGGATAAAATGAGCATGGGACGGGGAGCAAGAAGAAGAGAAAACTGATTTTTAGGCCAAGAAGGACTTGCAGCAAAGGCTGGAAGGAAGTGAGGGAAACCGTATGATCCCTAGGAGCCCAGTTTGCAAATAAAGAACCAAAGCCTAGAGAAGTGCAGTGATTTGCCCAAGGTCACACAGCCAGAAGCAGCTGAGTGGTTCCCATGGCCCTCTGTGACCTGACAGCCCTGGTCTATCCCTCTGCCCACATACCCCAAATCCCAAAGTCCCAGTAGGAGTATCTCCCCTGGTCCTTGCCCACCCCCAGGTCAGTCTGCATATATTCCCAGGCTGCTGCAGTACAGCTGGCTCTGCACCTCCACTTTCACAGATGGGCAAATGAGGACAGAGAAGGTCTTCCCAGTAGAGATCACCCAGCAGGTAGTTAGCACCCAGGTCTCTGCCCAGGTGGGTCTACAGACCCTGGTTGGGGCACTTGGGAGTCTTGGGGCCCCATCTTTCAGAGTGAGAGGGGAGCCTGGTCCTCCCTCTCTCCTCTACCCCAACCCCAGCCTTGTTTTCCCTCCCTGGGCTGCCACCGTCACCTCTGCTGTTACTGCAGCTGCTGCCGCCACCAGGCCAGAAAAACCCGCTGGGCAGGACCTGCTACTGCCAGCACCAGGCCTGATTAGGTCCTGGGGCTTTTCTGAAAGCCTAGTGGCTGCCCAGCCTTCATCCCCCTGAGTATGGGGTTAGACACAGAAACAAACACACAGTGCTCACAGAGACATACACAGTCACACCCACACAGCAAGGATAGAGACATACACAGACCCATGTACACAGTATTCTGGGAACATGCACTAAACATGTCTGGAAACAGACATACACAGACACCTGTATACCAAGCACACACATGCCAGGATTCACAGATAAAAATTGTCACACAAAGACACATAGATACACAGACACATGTGGACACACACAAAGATACACAGACACACACACACATATACACAGAGACACATACTCATATGCACAGATGCCCCAGCTCCAGGTGTTCCTTCTTCTGCCATGCCCAGGTGCAGACCTCTGGCTCCAACTCCTTGCCAGCCTCCCTTTCCTCCTCTGCCTCAGAAGGCTCACTCAGCAGGGTGGTCTGCACTGACTTCTTCCCTCCCAGTTTGCACTCATCTGAACTTAAGATTCCTCTCCATGGCCCAAAGCTCCCCTAGACCTGAGACATACCCAGGGTGACCCCTGGTCTGAGGGGTTCTCAGTGCTTCCCTGAGGAGCCCTCAGGATGCCCCAGGCTGAAACCCAGCCAGAAAGGGTAAGGGCCTTTCTGACAAGGAGTCCACAGTGGGCCAAGGCCTAGTGACACAAGACACACAGGTGTTGTGCCATCAGGTTATCAATGGGGAGGAGCCCTGCAGGCCTCAGATGGGGCAGTCACTGGGTCGGGAGGGACAGTGCGTCCCTAACTCCTCAATAGCAGCAGATTCACTGCCAGCACCAGGCAGTGAAGCTGCCTTGGGCTGTGAGTGCCACTCCTCATCTATAACATAAGGCATGGGGCCATATGGGAGTGGGACGAGACATGTTATTTTTTGAGCACCTGCTCATGCAGGAGCAGGTGAAGGTGGTTACAGGCAGGTTTCCCAGACTCACACATTCTTGAGCTCTGAGGTCCTGACCCCTGGAATGCCTGGATCCCTTGCTCTGTTCTAGAACATGGACAGATGTGTTCAGGCTCAGGGACTATTCTTCCACTGGTCACAAGCCTGCAGGCATTTTCTGGCCTCTGGAGAGGTGAGGACCAGCTCCTTGTGGAGTGTGGGACAAATCTGAGAGGCAGCATCAGGTGGGCATCAGAGCACCTATCTCAGGTCCAGGAACCCTAATGGACAGAGAGTCCAGGGTCAGAGCCCACAGGAAAGGGTTCCAAGAGCAGAGCATCCCAGTGAGACTTGAGGCTTAGGCCTTTCCTAACTGGACTGTTCCAGTTGTATGTGTCCAAGCTAAGGCCAACTGGTGCCTCCCTGCTTGTTTGGTGTCTGGTATGCAAACCATTAGAAGCAGTAGTTTATAAGATGGCTGTCAATGGACCAGGACATTCCCAACTCTGACTGTAGGGTTCAGAGAAGGCTTCTCAGAGAATGGGTCATTTTACCTGTACCTTGAAACACAAGTAAGAGTTTGACTAGAGAAGATTCCTTCCAACTGGAGCAAATAGTGTGTGCAAAGGCCTGGGGTTGCGTTAGGAAGTGGAGAGAGAGGTTCTGTGGGGCTTAGAGCCCTTGTCTCCAGCAAAGTGAGGGACCCTCTTTTGTTCCCCATGTATATACACTTAAATAAATCTTTATCTTTAATCTTTAACAAGGTACCACATCAGCCCCAGGGCTAGAGGAAATGAGCCACAGACAAGGATGGGCCAAGAAGGAGAAGCAGGCCTGTGTAGCTGGGGCCACAGATTCAGGCCGCAAGTGAGCCCCAGCTGCATACACACTGTGTCCAAAACAGTTTGATAAGATTTTGATTTAGAGCCCAGAGGCTACTAAAGCAAAGTCCATCAAGTTTTGGGACTGGGTTGGTTCTCACTAGGTCCAAATGTGAGCAAAATGGTCCTTTCCACCCTGACAGCCATCAGGCTTTCTCAGCCTGGCAGGACACCCTCCACAGCATGTGAGAAGCAGGTGTTCCTACACTGGTGCTGTCCTGGTTGGGCACTGAGGCTGTTCCGTGGGCCACTGCTCTCCGTGGCCCCAGCCCAGCCAGGGGTGCCCAGAGCAGCCTGCTGACCAGCATTGCAGCTCTCAGAGTCCTGTGCCTCCCTTGCCAGCCCCCTTCCCCAACATGGAGGTCACTGAGGCTGGAGAGGGTGAGCTGGGCAGTGGGTCCAAGCTGGTCTGATTGCAAGATGGTTAAGGTTTGGCCATGGGGAGAGGCTGGGTGTGGAGACAGGAAGCCCAGGAAGCAGCTTGGTGGAGTACAACTTGACTTGAGCAACATGCTCTGGGGCAGGACTAATACAATGAGACTGATTAGTACTGCTGCTGTCATACAATGATAACCAATCAGGAGCATCCGAAAGTGACACACTTGCACATATACACTCAGATGTGGCCCAGCTCCACCCTTTCTTGCTGTGTGACTCCAAGCAGCTCATGGTACTGCTCTGAGACTCAGTTTCCCCATCATACAAAGAGTGCAGCTGGCTCCTCCTAGGCCATTAGGTGGGCCAGCTACACTTGCAGAAGGGGAGGCCACAATGGGTGTGCCCTGACCCACATGGCACCATCTCCAGTCTAATTCTGAAGGGCCTATCCTGGTGTGGGAGAGTCAGGCTATCTCCTCAGTTGGGCTAGAAGGTACTTAGGAGGATTGTTCTGAGCAGAGCCCATAGCCTATGCAAACACTGGGAAGTGGGGGAAAAAGGGGCCCATTAACTGAGTCACAGAATAGATGAAAGTTGTGATTCTGGACACATAGTCAGGGCCAAATCTTGAGTCTGAGACCAAAATTTTATCCTGAGGGCAATGGAGCCATAGAAGATTCTTTTCTTGACATGAAACATCCAACATGGCTGAGCTCCTCTAACTCTCACCACAGGACACTCTTCAAGGGACTTGGCTGTGAGGGGGCAGGGGAGGAAAGAAAATATCAGGGCTGAGGGTGACGGTGAAGAGATGTAAGTGGATATGCTGTCCAATCCCCATTCTCTCAGAGGAGCCCATTTGCTGCTGCGACTAAACTGTAGTCAGCACAGAGGTGTGCACCAGGTCTCACTGGGCCAGCCAGTGGAGTCTTGAGCCCAGCCCACCCCCACCCCCCATCTGCACTGTCGTCTGACCCTAGGTCTCACTGAGAGAGGTCTGCTTACAGGTGGTGGTGGAGTGTGAAGACCTGGGGATCTGGGGTTGTGTGGGCACTGGGAGGAGCACTGGGCCCATCTGAGGTGTCCTGGTCCTTGCCCCCAGCTACGGGGACCAGGTGCAGCATTTCAAGGTGCTACGAGAGGCCTCAGGGAAGTACTTTCTGTGGGAGGAGAAGTTCAACTCCCTCAATGAGCTGGTTGACTTCTACCGCACCACCACCATCGCCAAGAAGCGGCAGATCTTCCTGCGGGACGAGGAGCCTCTGTTTGAGGTAGGTAGGCAGGGGTTGGCTCAGATGGGTGCCCAGTGCAGGCCTCTCTGCAGAGGGGCAGGAGCCTGCAAACACCAGGCTCAGGCCACCCTTCCTTGGGCTTGGAGAAGGGGTCCAGCCAAGGCTCCAGAGTTCACAGGGTGGGAAGAGAAAAGGGGAAAAAAATGATAAGACTGAATGGAAGCTCCATGGGGTAAACTGTGTCTGGCTTGTTCTCAGCTCACAGTAGGTACTCAATAAGTGTGTGTTGTATCAAGGAAGGAACTGACATTCTCTGAGAGTATGCACCCAGCTGGGTTCTGTGCTCTGGGTGCCTCACTGTGCCCATTGTACAAATGAGGAAATTAAGGCTCAGAGAATGATGTGATAGACCAGGAGACTTAGATCTGATGTCTGCTTCTGAGGAGTTGGACTTGGATGCAGTGTGAGCACGCATGGGCGGAGGCCTAGCTGGGTACAGGGCAGGTAGCCCATCTGCCCCCCATCCTCTTAATAACAGCAATTTGCCAGCTGGTCCTATCACCATGGCCCAAGGACCTGCTGCTCCCACTCTCATTAGGCTGATGACACCAGCCAACGGAGTGATTAGCTGCAACAGGCTACTTGTCTTGGGAGGTGTCAGCAAGGCCTGGGGCTGGAGGTCAAGACCTGGGAGGGTCTAAAGAACATGGCATGGCCTAGGCCTTGGGAAGGGGCTGACCTCCATAGAGAAGCTGCCTGTCTACTGCCCCCCCTTGTCACCTTGAGGTGTGACCTTAGGGCCAGTCCTCCCTCACTGGACCTCAGTTTCCCCTCTGTCAAATGTGCCCTGATTGTCAAACACCATACCTTCAAAGACCCCATTCATGTAGCCTCTGCTCTGCTGGCATGCTGACCTCCTCAGCCTGATCGGAGAATCTGAATCTGGGGTCCCAAGAACATCTCCTCTCAGGGCCTCCCTCCCAGGGCCCAGGGCCTCTGTCTCCCAGACTTGCACCATTCCCCACTGTACACCCACACTCTGCCTCTGGGAAGTATAAGGGAGCCCTTATGAATCTGGGGGCTAACTGAGGGTCCCCCATACCCACTGCCTCACTCTGGCCTGGGCCCTGGGATCATATACCCCATGGGCAACTCCAGAGCTGGCTCAGTTCCCTGAGACCAAGATGCCTCCTCCTTCCTAGGCAAAGAACCTCTAATTATGGCCATTCTGCTGATAGTATCTCCTGTCCTGGACCAGGATCCTTGGATGCACAATAGAGATCCTGGTAGGGCAGCAGGCCAGGGCACTGGCAACTAGAGTCCTCATGCCCAGGCAAGTGTGCCTGTGGAAAGCTCCAGTCCAACTACCATGGCAGGTGGTGAAACTGAGTCTCACAAAGAGCAAGGACTTACCTACATTCACACTCAGGGACAAATAGAACAGGCACCCAGGCCTGAGAGGCTAGAGCAGCTAAAAGGGGCAGCTCTTCTCCTTAAATCCTGGCCAGAAGCAACAACAGCAAGCACCCCTCAGCTGCACTTCACTTGACAGTTTATAAGGATCTTTCCTGTTGCCAGCAGCCTTAAGTCAAAACAGCCATTGTGTGTACAAAGCTAGGGAAATGAGGACCCAGAGGGTAGGGACCTCCCTAAAGTCCTTCCCAAGCACTTGACCCACCATCCCCATATTCCCAGCCATGCTGCCAGGAACTATGTGTTCTTATGGAAGCAGTGTCTTGTGGAAACATGCAGGGTGGCCAACAGGATGTTCACAGAGCCTCAAGGCCCAGGGTTCATCTCCATTCTACTGCTAAACCCCCCACCCCCCACCTCTGGTTCACTTCTCTTCATGGTGCCTCTCAAAGGAGACACTGGCCATGGCCTGTGAAGAGGTCAGCGGAGGGGACCTGGGCATGGGGCCCACTGACCCACCCCCCTTCTCCTCACAGGCCTCCCGGGCTGGCTTTGTCCAGGCACAGTTTGACTTCTCAGCCCAGGACCCCTCACAGATCAGCTTCCGCCGTGGTGACATCATCGAGGTCCTGGAACGGGTGGACCCCCACTGGTGGCGGGGCCGTCTTTGTGGGCGTGTTGGCTTCTTCCCACGGAGCTACGTGCAGCCTGTACACATGTGACAGGTGGGCTCCTATAGGGCAGAGCCACTGCATCCACTCAACAGGCTCATTTCACAGGAGAGACTGAGGCCCAGGAGGGCCATGAACACTTCCACCTGTCCAGGTCATACAGCGCCCAGTGAAGGAGCTGGACTGGATGTGGAGCTCCTGACTCCTGATCACTTCACCACAAGCCCTAAACCCCCAACACTACCCACTTGACAGGGACCTCCTGCCTGGCTCCCTCCCATTGGTCCCCCACCTCTGTGATATCACAGGGTGGGTAGGCAGAAGTCCCAACCACAGACATAGTTGAAGACTCTGAGATTGGCACAATTTCGGTCTCAACCCAAGGAACCCTGGGTTCATCACAGGTTGACCATCCACTGGGCCTGCCTCACACTCCCTCAAAAGGCCCCTTGAGTTGTGCAGGCTGAGGCCAAGCAAGGGGCCAAGCAAGGTCTATAGCCCTTCAGCCTATAGACCAGCCTCCAGGTGGGGACAAGCTTCTCAATAGCCTCTGGACTCTGAGCACCACCTGGGACACCCCTCCACACACCTCATTCCTACCACAGACACTTGGGAGCAGCCAGAGGCCCAGTCACTGAAATCCTGAAGACAGGAGGACATTCTTCCCCAACCCCACACCATTCTGTCCCCAGTGGGTTAGAGGGGCTTCTGAGGGGCATACCCTGCCACCCAGCCACATGGGGGATGTGGGCTGCAAGGGTTCTGGTTTGTTGGAGCCTGTGGGGGGGAGCTCAGAGAAGCTGGGTAGAAAATAGATCTGGATTGCAGAGGTCCCACAAGATCCAGAGAGGGGTGAGTATTCTAGGTGTGGGTACAGGCGGTATAACAGTGGGGATCTCGATGGCATGTGCCACCAGCAATGGAGTGGGAAGCAGGGCCTGAGCACCTTCTGAAGCAGAGAGAATGAGGTGGGATTTGCACAGGGCTTCCAACCCCAGGCTGCTGGGGAGGGGATGGTGAGCCAGAGAAGGCTTTTAAGCAAAGGAGGAAGCTAGGGAGGATGAAAAGGGCCTGTGGGCAGCAGTGGGAAGGTGAGCAGGAGGGCACAGCTGCTACAGTTGTTTGAGCAGGGCCCTGTGTTATAGGCAGGTAGTCTCTCCCTTGGTCCAGCCCCAGGTATAGCCCCAGGGCTGCCACAAGACTCTTAGAGCTCTGAGCTCTGGGACACACTGCTGCTCCTGCCCCGGACCCAGGTATCAAAATAAAAACAGTAGAACAAGTATAAGGATGCCCATCTGAAATCTCATTTTCTTTCTAATGATGACTACCTTGGTGCCGTTTTTGAAAGATAATCCTTTTGCCCCATTCCTATGCCCTGATTTTTTCAGAGCCCCTGCTTGGCTAGTTTGGCCAGTATCCAGGCACTGGCCCACTGTGGGCCTCGAGGGGCTCATCTCTCTTTAGGGAAGGGGATGGCCCTGTGCACTCTGGAGCCCCTAATTCTGGAGGCCAGGCTCCCAGCTGCCTGCCCCGGTGGCTGTGTCATGCAAAGTAGGCATAGAAGAAGATGTTGATGCACATAAGGAGAATGGCGTTGAAGCCACAGACACGGGCCCAGAAAGCATGCTTCTGGGGTGTTTGGCCATCACCTGGAGGAGTCAGAGAGGAGGAGGGATGGATGAGAGAGACAGGCCCACACCTGGTGCCTCTAGTCCCAGGGTAGAGGGGGACAGGGCATATCTAGGGTCTAACACTGACCTGCTTTGGCTCTGAAGGGAAGGACCTGAGGCAGGGTCCACCAGGTAAGGTTCTCAATCTGTAAGGGGGAATAGACAGTGTCAGGGGTCAGTGACAAAAAGATGGCAGCTGAGTTCAAAAAGGGACAGGGGTAGGAGTACTAGGAAAGTTCTGAATAGAGAACACCTGGGGTCAGAATGGGACCAGAGTTAGAAATTGAGCATTTAGGGTAAGGGGTCAGGGTCAAGCACAGGCATGACTCATGAGCAGCTCAAAGGTCAGGGGCCAGAGCAAGCAAGCTCACCTGAGCTCCCTGGGGTGCTGGAGTTAGCAGGCTGCCGGCCACCACCGCAGCACTGCTGAGCGCAAAGAGGACAATGGCGAAATGCAGGTAGTGGATGCTTCTGAGAAGAGCTGGCTGCGTGTCTGGGGCACCGCAGGGAGGTGCCGGGTGCAGGAACTCCAGGACCAGCCTCCCAGCACCCACAGCCAGCCCCACCATCAGGCCCCAGAAGGCCCCCTGGGAGAGGGAGGCAGAGCCAATGGTCAGATGAAGAAGACTAGGATCCCTTCCACACACAGGCAGGAGCAAATTGGGAGACGCTGAGACACCTCACCACTGACTGGGCAGGCAACTCAGAGTCCCATCCCTGCCTATCACCCCCTACTCCAAACCTGTTCATTGGCACGCTGCCAGAAGATGCCCAAGACAAAGACTGCAGTCACTGGGGGGGCCAGGGAGCTTGTCACTGACTGCATGTAGATGAAGAGCTGCCCACTGTTGGAGCCTTGCAGAATGGGGATCCAGGCCACGCTCACACCAATGAGCACCACGATGACCAGCCTGGAGACGGGCAGGGCTGTAGACCACTTGAGGCTTTCCTCCACCCCCCTCAACCTTTCCTGTCCACCAAGCCATTCTCTCCACCATGTCGCCTGCTACACACCTCTGACTCAAGGGAGTACCTCACCCCAGCCTGGCCAGCCCACCCCGTGCACTGACAAGCCCAGCTCCCTGTTGCCTGCAGGCCCAGCCCCTGGTCCTCCCTAGGGTCTTCCTTTATCTTCTCCTTCAAGGCACCCACCCTACCTGCACTGGCAAAGTTTGTGGTCTATCTCCACTCCCAACAGCAAGCACCAGGAGGAAGGAGCTGTGCCTGAGCAAGTGCTCAGTGAGCATAGTGAAGGAAAGATGCCCCACTGCCTCCAGACAGGCCAGACCTCACTAGCACACCCCTTCCTCAGCTGCCAGGCTTCCAGCCCTTCAGCTCTTTGAGGCTGGCTCATGGCTTGATGAAGGGCCTGGGTTTAGATTAGAAACTGGGCTCCCTACTGCACCCCAAGCCCCCTCTCCTTCTTTCAGCTCCTGCCTGTCCTCATAGCAAAGCCCTCATAGCAGACTTCACATGTTCATTCCTGCAACAAATGGTGCCAGGGCCCGAACCTAGGACCCTGTGCTGGGCCAAACTGTAACAATCATCCTGGGCCCTACCAGCACTCAGAGTCAAGGCAAGGAAGCAGATGAGCCTGTCACCCTGCACTCAGGGTCAGGCCAAGGGAGGAGGGGGCTTGGCTAAGTGCTTTTTCCCCTACTTCCTGGGTCAGTGAGTATCCCTCATCCCTGAAGTGGAGAGGAGTAGGAACCCTGGAGCCACAGTCACAATGACAGGGACAGCAGAGGGTGTATATCTTTTGTGGTGAGTTCTTCTTCCCACCTGCCTGACTTTCTTCCCTTCCAGGCTGGAGGGAGAGGGTGGAGGAAAGAGATGTCACTTGATTAAGGCTAATTAACCCATAGCCTGACAGGTGGGTGGGAAGGAGGCACTGCCATCTTCAAAGGCACGGGCAGGCTCCATTATGCCCATCCTGCCCACCTTCCACACACACCCACTGTCCAAAGGCAAACTCAGCATCTCCCTGCAACAGCTTAGGTCCCCCATCCTGGCTAACTGTGGCCCTCCCTTCTTACTGCTGTCTAGGATCTCCTCTCCCAAATCAGCCCCCAGTCAGGCTGCCACAGAGACCCCAGAATCAGCATAGCCCTGAAGTCTGCATGGTCAGGTCACCACCAGCTGTCCAGCTCAGTCTTACCCCTTGCCTCCTTGTTCACATGTCACCCTCTAACTGGACCATCTCAAGACTCAGTCTCTGCATGGCTGTCCCTTCTGCCTAGAATGCTTCTCCACCTTCCCCACTAAATGCCTCCAAGTCTAGGCTCACAAGCCCCCTCCTCCAGGTAGCCTACCCCCAAAACCACCAGGATCAGTGACCCTTCCATTGTCCTCCTGGACCTTAGCCAAGCTCATAGGGGAGCCCCTCAAGGGCAAAAGGGTCTGAGCTCTCTCTGAGTCCATGTTTCCCAGCTCAGTGCAGGGTCTTTAAGAGGCCCAAGGTACTGTGTGCTGTCCAAATAACAAGACAGGGGGCAATGGCAGGGGAGGGGAATGAAAGTGTAGAAGGAGGTACACAGCGCCTGGGTGAGCAGAGATCAGAGCCCCAGAGATGAGGTCATCCATGTCCCCCAGGCCTGGATGCTACTCTGGTCTCCCTCACCCTAACAAGACCTTCAGGACTACCAGTATGCCCCTACTCCTCAATGACTTCCTCCTGGGATTCTGGGCCTTATTCTGCTTCCCCTCTCCTGTGCCCATCTCCTTGTGGAGCCAGGCATTTGTCCCCACAAATGCCAGAGAGCAGTCCCCACAGGCTTAGGAAGCACAGCCTGAATGGTGGTGCTTTAGGCAGAAAGAGGCTGAGCAGGCACCTCAGCAGCGGAAGGTGTTGGGGGCTGCCCTAGTGCTTCATGTAGAGCTGAACTCGCCCCAACAACAGCCCCTGCCCTTTCTCCTCCACTGGACTGGCAGACAAGGGAACTGGGACTCAGAGAGGGAAAGAAACCCATCCAGCATCCTACAGCCTATGCCATGTCCACAAAGGGGCTGGAGATGGGGCTAGTTGGGCCTGAAGTGAGGGGCCTTGGCTTGGCAGAAGAGGTGTGAAGAAGGGTCAGTGATGTGGTGGGTGAGTGGATGAACTGTCATGGTGGGAGCCAGCTCAGGAACTTGGGCTTGGGAAGGAACAGGGAAGAAGCTTGTTTCTGGGAGGCCGGGGTGAAAGGCCACTGAGCAATACCAGGATCCAGAAGGCCAAGGCACACACTGGATGGGGCTGTGTCCAGAGAACAGTGCTCCTTTGTGGAAGCAGTGCCTGGCACCAGTATAGGGGAGTGGGGGTCAAGGACCCAGTTGCCAGGATGTTGGACCTAAGAGGGACTAAAAGTCACCATGGATCACAGAATGGTGGTTCCCTGGGCTACCAGCCACTGGGGAGGACAGAGAACTGTCTGCAGGAGCCATGTGCTGGACGCATGGGACACACAAACATCCTGTGTGATGGAGCAAGAGGCTCCTTATTCTGGAGGAGCCTGCAAATGAGCTCATACTACCTGCCAACTGGCATGTTCCAACAGGGCCCTCCCAGCAGAGCCCAGCTGTTTTACATGGCTGGGACAGCACCGGGAGCACTCAAGGGTGGGCACTTGTGCACTGTTGACTAACCAACACCAGGGCCAGCCCTCTATGAGCAGAGTGGGGTCTATAGGCACAGAGGAGATGGAAACCATTGCCCAGCTCACCCCTAGAGGCCTCCAAGGTTCTAGGCCCCAGGGTCTAAGGTAGAGGAATGAACCACCAGACAGCCCCTAACTATATTGAGCATTCAGACTGGTGAGGAGGGGCGTCAAAGAGCAAAGTCAGACCTAAAGGGCCACATCTGCTGCAGGAGGGATCTGGCATCATCCCAGGAAGGCATAGAGAGGAGAGGGGTTTGTTCCTCTTCAGGGGCTATCAGGGAGGGCTTCATGAAAGAGAGGGCCCTTGGGCAGAGTCTAGAATGAGTAGGGTGAGTCATTGCATGGGCAGGAGCTCAGAGGGGCCAGGAACATGGAAGACTGAGGGGCAATACTGCCTGAGTGCTGGCTCCAGGGCCCTCAGGAGGGTGAAAGGCTCAGATTAGGGAAGACAAAGAGATCTCTGGGATGAATGGAGTGGGAGGTGACTTGCTCCGGCAAAGGGAGCCCAGTCCAGGGTAGGAGATGCATCAAAGAGATCCGTGGCCCTTTGCAAAGGGGTGGTCAGAAAAGAAATTTGGGAAATGGTATGGACAGATCACTTCAGCTTCTCTCTCCTCTTTCCTGGCATCTCCTCTTCTCCAACTGGTAAACTCCTACTCATCCCTCAAAGCCTACTACTGGTAGGGCCTCATCACCCAGAATCCCAGCACCTGATGACCACATTGCCCTACCAGCTGACCCAACCATACCGCCCCACTAGCAGCAGCTCCCGCTCGCCAGCACTGGGCCGCAGCCGCCGCCAGATGTCCATAGTGAAGAGTGTGCTGCTGCTGTTGAATATGGAAGTCAGTGACGACATGAGTGCAGCCATCATCACTGCAATCATCAGCCCCCGCAGACCTGCAGTGGGGAGAGGGGGCTGTTGTGACCCTGTCTGTCCCCCCGCCCCAAAGGCCCCCTCACCATCTGTACCTTACCTGAGTCTGAGCTGGCAGGGAGGGGAGTAGGCTATTTGAGGTGGAGTAGGGGAGACCCAAAGGCAGGAGGCTAAGGAGGCCAAGGACAGACTGCCTTCAGAATCTGCTGCTTGGGCCTGAGGCTTGCTGGCAATAAGAGTAATCACCATAATTACCAGCGTTGTTGTTGGTGTTAATGTCAGCCCTCTCATTTCTAAAGCACCTAACAGTTGACAATGCACTTTCACAGCCATGACCTCATTTGAGGGAATGATTATTAACTCTTTCACAGAGAAGAAAATGGAAGCTCAGAGAGGGGATAAGAGGTACCCAGGGACGCACAGCAGGCCTTATTAGGGGAGCAAGGGAAAAGGCCCAGGGCAGGGCCCTCTGCTTAGCGGTCAGGCCTGGGCAGGCACATGCCTTGTTCCAGTCCTTGGCGCCCAGTGGCCCAGTCTCTCCTGGCATGCAAGGTCCCAGGAGGAACCATCTTCCTTCTCTTGAGAGATAGATTGAAATAGTGCTGATTCTACCAATTTCTCAGACAGAGAGCTCAAGGCCTAGAGAGGGATTTTGGCTCTGGACATTGATTCACTGTCTGTTGAGTGTCAGTGCTGGGGGCTGAGGGGAGGCTCCCCAGAACAGAAGGGGAAAGCAATGTTCAGAGATGAGAACTCACAGTGTTGCCAAGTCTTGCACCAGGCACTTATTAAATTTAATCCCAGCAACAACGTTGAGGGGTGAGTAGGTGTCATAATTTCCAATTTGCAAATGAGAACACTGAGGCTCAGAGCAGGGAAGCGATGTGCCCCAAATAGCTCCACCAGAAAATAGCAGAACCAAGATCTGACCAGCTCCAGACACTCGTGTTGCCTGGGCCTTGGTGCTACAGGAGGAGGAAGAGGAAGGAAGGGCAGGTGTGAGGTGGGAAGACCCTGTTTGCCCCAAGTTCACCTGGAGGACAGGAAGCTTCCACAGGGGAGGTTAGGGGAAATGCAAGGGTCTGCAAATCCCGTGATGAGAGCCTGGGACTGCAGAGGTCCCTCCCTCTTTTGGCTTTGGGCAGGACAATCCACCTATCCTGCTACATTGCTCCTGTTTGCACATCCTCTATGACAGGAACTCACCACCCTCTACCAGCCTGGCAGGGCTATTGCTGCATGAAAAACATGGAAAATGCCAACACAGTTCCATGGCTCCGCCCCTAGACCCAGTAGGGCCTGAGGTGAAGGCAGGGGCTCATGCCTGGGGATACAGGCTGGATGGCTTGAGCCCCTGATCCTTGCAGAACAAGCAGTGGACTTTGGGGCCAGACAGACTTGAGTTTGAGTTTTTAGTCACTCTGTGTGACTAAATTGCTTTCCTTTTCCATGTCTCAATGAGGACATCTATAAAATGGAGCTAATTCTACCTAATTATAAACTGTATTGAGAAGCAATTTATAATAAGGCCTAGGACATAGGAGGTCTGGTGGTATAGTGGATAAAGCATTTGGCTGCTAATGAGAAAGTTAGCAGTTCAAACGCACCAGCAGCTTCGTGGAAGGAAAATGGATCAATCTACTTCTGTAAAGATTCACCATCTCAGGAAACCAATGAGGTTTGCGATGAGTCGGAATCGACTCGATGGCAGCAAGTTTGGGTTTTTTGGGTGGTGTCGGGGAGGATATAGGAGGCATGTAAGAAAAGTGGGCAACCTTTTCTTGAGAGATGTTGAAGCATGGATTCTAGGGGCAGGCCTTAGAGCCGGATCATCCAAGTACAAACTTCAGCTTTACAGCTTACTTGCCAGGTGACCTTAGCCAAAAGCAGTATTGTTGGGTCTCAGTTTCCCCATCTTTAAAATGGGGATGATACTAATAGTAAATAGCACTCTTGAGAAGAGTAAGTGAGGTAATTGCATATAAAACCCTTGAAGTTCCTGGGTGACATGAAAGGTTAGGTGGACTACTAACCAAAAGGTTGGCAGTTCGAACCCACTCAGTGGTGCCTTGGAAGTAAGACCTGGTGATTTGCTCTAGAAAAGTCACAGCCTTGAAAATTCTATGGAGCTAAGTTCTACTATGTATGTACTCTTGGGTCACCATGAATTGGAAATGACTTATGGCAACTAACAGCAAAGCCCTTAGAACAGGGCCTGAACACATGGATGCTAAACAAGTGATCTGTATGGTCATAATGTCTTTTCTTTCCTGTGAGCAGAACATCCTATTCAAGACCAAGTGTCACATCAGACCCCAGACCCAGAGTGACCCCTGCAATCCCCTGGGGCCCTCACCTCTCACAGGGCCCAAAATTCTGCCTCCCTCACCTGCCCTCAGTGCTGGGCCACCCAGATAGCCTCACCTGTGGGCATCAGTTCTATGACCAGCTTGGGGTAGGCGATGTTGGAACAGCCGATCTCAGCCCCACAAGCCCGCAGGCACTCAGAAGGCACCACACAGCCCACATCATCTGCAAACAAGGAAGGCTCAGAGCCCATGCTGTGCCACACCACCCCTCCCAGCACACATGAGTACCTGCTCTGTCACCACCCAAATGGCTGGTTGCTGGGCCTCAGTGTCGCTGTCCGAGCCATGGAGAGCTTTCTGGTTCCTCACCCTCCTGTCTCTTTTCCTGCCTGCTATCCTCCATCTCTAATCCTTCTCCCTGTTCCCATGACCCTGCCAGGCCAAGAGGGCTCCCTTAAAGTGTGACGCCTGTGTGGGTAAGAAGTCCCCACTGGGCTCTCCTCCTCTTCTGCCCCAGACATCCTCCCCACAGGGGAAAACTGAGGCCAGAGAGGGGCGGAGGCCAGCAGTTGGCCTCCTCCTAGTCTTTGCTTGGTTGTTGCTGAGTCACTCATCCCTGCAGCTCACTGAGCCAGACACAACCACACAAAAGCTGGGGTGCCATCACTGCTGTTTCTCCATGCTCCTGCCCTCACCCCGGGCCTATCCCTAACACTCCAGCCAAGACATGAAGGTGGCTCTAGAGCCAGAGCTTTAGGCCAGGGGTGTTTTCTGGCCTCCAGAGGACTTTCTGAGCCAGGTTATGCCACCCATTGACCAGAACCCTCCAGTCGTTCAGAATAAACTCGATGCTCTTCTCTGTGGCCTCTGAGATCCACCGTCATCCATTCTCCAGCAACTTCTCCCATCTCATCTCCTTCCTGCCTCATCATCATGCCCCATCATGCCAGCCCCCCTCTGTACTACAACCCTCCACCTCATTCCAATCTCGGACCTTTGCACTTGCTTTTCCCAGATCACTTCCCCACCACCCCATGCTCCCTCTGTCCCCTCACCTATGTCACTTCTCTCTATCCTTTTCCAACCTTGGAATTACTTGAACATGTTTAATGTTCATTGTCTATTGTCATGTCAGTCACATGCTGGTGATGAGCTGAATGGTGAGGGATTGATGAATTTCCTGGGCCTTGGCCCACACCTAGATCGACCCTAAGCCAAGCCTCTTTAATTAGCTGCTGGAGCAGAACCTATGGCCTCTCCCTGTTTGGGGCAGGAACCCAGCCCTGTACCCCTAGGCCATGTACCTACACCCCCCTCCATCACCTCATTCCTAGGGCGGTGCTGCTCCCATAAGACCATGCTCCCAGCATTTGACTCACAGATTCCCAGTTGAGGCAGGCACAGTGAATCTTGGCCTCGCTCACCAGCAAAATTTAGGAAATAGAGAGTCTGCCCCAGGCCCACTTTTCCTCTCATGAAATGTTTTCTAAAAGCTGTTGGCACCACTCTCCTGGGATGTCCAGAAGGTGCCACAGGAGGCAACACCAATGGGACCTGGCAGTGAGAGGGACAACTCAGAAACAGCCTGCTCCATCCTCCACTCCAGAATCAGCAGGCATGGGGACACTGCAGATACAAGTGGCCCATCTAGGCTGTGAGGCCACATATGGCAGGCATCAACACTCTGTGACTAGCTGCTCCCTGTGCAGACCAAGCACTGCATTGTTTTAGTACTCCCCCTCTCTAAGCACCCCTCTGAAAGGTCTCCCTAAACCCCATCCCACTGGGGTTGCAGTCACAGACCCTGCTTCCAGGCTGGCAGCACCATCCACCACCACCTCCCACCCCAACCCACTCTCAAGCTCCAGTCTCAAGGATGTGCTGTTACCCTCAGGCACCTCCTGCTCAGTGGTCACAGTCAGGGCTGCCCAGTGGTGGCCTCATGCTCCCTCCTCCCTCCAACCTCCAGCCAGTCTATAAGCCCAGGGCTTCTCTCTGCCCCCAGTGCAGGCCCCAGCTCCCAGACTTCTTGTACAATCTGTGACCAGCTCCTCACTGGTCCCTTTTCATCCTCTCCAACCATCCTTCATGGCTATTAGCTTTCAAAGTCACAGCTTTGATTATGCCACTGTCTTCTCAGGAACCTCATCCCCACCCCCACCCCTGGAGCCGGCATCCTGAAAGAAAAGTCCTTTCCAAAGGCATTCAAGGTCCTTGATAACTGCTTCTAGCTACCTCCTGTTCTGGCACCCATGTGCCAGCCAACCTGACCTGCTTCTATTTTCTCATACACACCTAGTACTCTTACGCCTCCTTGCCTTTACAGAGGCTGTCCCCTCCTCCTTGTGTGCAGTTCCCATTTAACACCCAACCTCTCTCTTGTTTACCTCCTGCTTCAAGCCCCATTGCAGAGGATTTGTCCTCTGAGGCCTTCCCACCCACCCTCCAGGCAGTAGCAACTTCCTCTCTAGGGCTCCCACAGCCCCCTTTACAGCCAAGGACTGAATCACAACGGTTTGTTTACATATTCTACTCCCCCACCAGACCAGGAGCTCCCCAAGGGCAGACACTGGGTTTGAATCATTTCAGAGTCCAGTATCACCCAGCCCAGGGCTGGACCCAAAGGAGATATTGTGTGAGCATTTGCTGTATGAATGAATGAGTAAGTGAGTGAATGGTGGTGGGTGGGGAAAGCACTGGAGGAGAGGAGGAAAGAAAGGATCCTAGAAAGCATCTTGAAGGAGTTCAGGCACAGTCTGATCTGGTTGCTCTATCAGACCACCTCTACCCCCACTAGTTTTGCAGATGAAGAAATTCAGGGCCAGAAAGGGCATAGCTGGGCCAGAACACAGCAGGAGGCCCTGTGGCAGGACTCTGAGGCCAATGGGGTCCAGCAATCAGAGGGCAAGTGGTGGGTTCTGGGCCTGGACTGGCTGGCTCTAGCTCTTGGAAGACCCAGCTGTCCTGGGAGAGACAGACAAGAAGTCATAGACACATAATGGCTCAGAAACCCTGAGTCAGTAGACTCTCCCCCAATTTATTCAGCCTGTTCCAGCCTCTCAGGCCTCAGTGATGTCCTCTGGGCACTGCTGGCCTGCCATAGAGTTCGTATTGAATGGCAAAAATAAGAACAACTTCTCCCCCTAATATGCCAACTCAGAGGTAAGCAGTGCCAGGGCCAGGGGTGCCAGGGAACCAGGCAAGGGCTTCTGCATTTACCAGAGCACCAGCTTCAGCAGGGTTGACCACCCCAACCCCTCATCCCACTGAACTCCATTTTTGCATGAGCACCTGCACCCAGCCAGGGCCTACACCCAGACCTGGGAGCTGCCCCTGTCCTTGCCCACAGGTCCTTTGAGACCACGTGCCAACAGGTAGGCCACTGTGCTTGGCTACAGGGTGGAGATATACCATTTCCTTGCTGGTTTCTGTTGCCCACCTTCTCCTTTCTAACCCACCCACCCTGCGAGCCAGCAGAGGGAACTCTAAAACCATAGTCTGCACACACTACCTACCTATCCCCTTCTCCCAACCCTTCTCCAGAGCTCTATCCCCAGCTGGAGAAATCACAAGGCCTTTATTAATGTGTCATTCAAGGCCATCTGCACACTTTACCACCCCTCACCGCGTTCAGCCACACCTCTGGTGCCCAGGCTCTCTCTTGGACACATCTTGGCTTCTGTGTGCTGCTCTATCCCCTGCAACTCCCTTCCTTTCTTCATAAACTTATGGAGCTCATACTCACTATGGATGTCTGGGCTCCACAGGCCCTGTGTCTGTCCTGCCTTCCCCATCAGACACAACGATGGAGAAGTAAAAGGCCTGGGCCTCAGCAGTGCCCAACACAGGCCAAGGCATGGTGGCCTCTGTCAGTGTTTGTTAACTGATTGAATGACACTTTCCCAAGGAGGCCACTGGACACACCCCTTTAGAGGTGGTCAGATGTTCCACACTCTCCAACCAGCCCTGGTCCATCCTTGAGGACCAGCCCAGGCAACAAAGTTAAAGTTGGGAGCAGGAAAAAGGTACAGACTTAGGATTGAGCAAGCTCTCCTCATCCCTGGCTGTGTGATCTGAGTGATATTAAGCTTTTTTTTTTTAGAAACCCTTCTGGGGACATCCATGGGCAAAAAATAAACCATGACACAAACTTCACACCTTATACAAAAAGGAACTCAAAATGACACAGATTTAAATGTAAAACTATCAAACATTTAGGAAACATTTAAATAGGTTAAAGTTGTTTATCAACTTGGCTGGGCTATGATTTTCAATAGTTTTGCAGTTATGATGTAGTCATCCCCCATGATGAGATCTGATACAATATAATCACCTCCATGGTGAGGTCTGCATTAAACAAGGAAAAATTGAAAGGGAGATCTGGTGGCATAATGCCTAATGCCTTGATGGTTAACCAGAAGGTTGGCAGTTCAAACCCACCAGCCACTCTGGGGAAGGAAGACTGGGCAGTGTACTTCTGTAGAGATTTACACCACCTTGGAAATCCAAACGGGGTCATTATGAGTTGGAATTGACCCGATGGCAGTGAGTTTGGTTTGGTTTGGTTTTTATTCCTTGGGAAACATTCCTATGGATGTTCTGGCAAAGTTCCCTGCCTTTTTGCTTGATATGGATCTTGTATTTGGCCCATTATCATCTGACCACTGTTCTTTGGACTTGAACCAGTAACCTTCTATATTTCATGCTGGTCTTGGATTATTAGCCTCCACAGCCTGTGAGCTAGCAGCCTGTTGTCTTACCCATGGATCTTGGGTTTGTCAGCTCCTACAGCTATATGAGTCAGGAAGTCAGGAGAAGCCTCCAGCCTGACGTCTAACCCACAGATTTGGGACTTGCTAGCTTCTACAACCTCAAGAGTCATTTCCTTAAGATAAATCTCTATGTATGTGTACATATACATAAATATATGTACTTAAACTTTTGGTTTATACATACAAATATGCATGTGTACATATGTACGTCCGTATATGTACATACATACACATGCATATATGTATATACATATACATACACAAATACGAAGAGCTCTGGTGGTGTAATGGGTAAGGCATTTGGCTGCTACCCAGAAAGTCAGTGGTTCAAACCCATCTGCTCCTCCACAGGTAGACGATGAGGCAATCCACTGCCATAAGATTTACAGCCTTGGAAACCCAATGTGGGTCAGTATGAGTTGGAATCAACCCAATGGCAGTGAGTTTTCTGGTACATATATGCATACATAAGCTTCACTGGTTTTGCTTCTCTAGAAAACTCAGCCTCAGACATAGGAGAAAATCCTCAGGACCTAAGACTGGGCAAAGAGTTAGACTTGACACAAAGCACAATACACAAAAAGAGAAACTGATAAACTCCTAAGAATAAAAACGTTGCTCTTCATAAGACCCTGTGAATGGGATGAAAAGACAAGCTACAGACTAGGAAAAAATATCTGCAAACAACATTAGGGACAAAGGCTTTTATCTAGAATATATAAAGAACTCTCAAAACTTAACAGTTTTTTTTAAAAAATAAACCAACTAGAAAATGAGCAAAAGACATTTCACTGAAGAAGATATACAGATAGCAAATAAGTACATGAAGAAATGTTCAGTGTCATTAGCCATCAGGAAAATGCAAGTTCAAACCACAATGAGATATTATTGCATCCCTATCAGAATGACTAAAATAAAAATTAGTGACAACACCAAGGAATGTTGGCAAAGATGCAAAAAAATTGAATCACTTGTACCCTGTTGGTGGCAATGTAAAATGGTAGACATGCTAGAAAACAGTTTGGCAGCTTCATAACAAATTAAACATGCAACTATCCTACAATCCAGCATTGTACTCTTATATATTTATCCCAGAGAAATGAAGACATTAGTCTTCATTTTGCTGGACACAAAAACTTGTAAATGAATGTTCCCAGCTTTATTTGTAAAAGTCCCAAACTGGAAACAACCCAAATGTCCTTCAATAGGTGAATGGATAAATAAAATATAAAATATCCACACCAAGTAATTTTAAACCTGTTGCCATTAGGTCAATTCCAACTCATGATGATCCTATGTGTGACAGAGTAGAACTCTCCATAGGGGTTTTTTGGCTGTAATCTTTACAGAAGCAGATTGCCAAACATTTCTTCCATGGCACCACTAAGGTGGGTTTGAACCACCAACATTTAGGTTAGTTGTTGTTGTGTGCCGTTGAGTCGGCCCAACTCATAGCGACCCCTCCTTGGGTTGCCGAGGCAGTATCACTACGGAAGTAGATTGCCTAACCTTCCTTCCGAGGTTAGTAGTCAAGTGCAAACCATTTGTACCATGGAAAGGTCTTCATGGGAAAAAAAAAAAAAAAAAAGGAACAAACTATTGATACATGCTACAGCCTGGGTTAATCTCCAGACAATTATGCTGAGTGAAAAAAGTCCATTTCAAAAGAACGTTGTTAGCTGCCATTTAGTCAGCCCAGACTCATGGTGACCCCATTTGCAACAGGATCAGATTGTTGTGATCCACAGGGTTTTCACTGGCTGATTTTCAGAAGGAGATTCCCAGGCCTTTCTTCCTGGTCCATCTTAATTTGGAAACTCTGCTGAAACCTGTTCAGTATCACAGCAGCAGGCAAGCCTCCGCTGAAGAGAGTGGTGGCTACACATGAGGTGCATTGGTAGGGAATCCAACGTGGGTCTCCTGCATGAAAGGCGAGAACTCTACCACTGAATCTCACAGCCCTCATTCCAAAAGAGTGTATACTGTGTTCCATTTATAGAACATTCTTAAAATTCTACTGATAGAAAACAAATTAGCTGTTGCCTGAGGAATGGTAGGGGGAGGAGAGGTGGAGTATGGCTATAAAAAGGTAGCAAAAAGGAGATTTCTGTGATGTTAAAATAGTTCTGTATCTTGATTGTGAAGTAGTGACACAAATGCACACACAAGATAAAATGACATAGAACCACACACACACACGGGTGCATGTAAACTGGTATAAGCTTATCCGAATAAGCATTGAGTTGTACTAATGTCAGTTTCCTGGCTGTAATACTTGTTATGTAGTCATGCAAGATGTTACCATTGGGAGAGAATGAGTGAAGAGTAAAGAGATACATGAGACTTCCCCATCGTGTGTGTATGTGTGTGTAGTGTGTGTGTGTGTGTGTGTGTGTAACTTAGCAGATAACTGCAGAGGTAGATAGGCCAGAGCCCTTTCAGCACTAAGAGCCAGGGCTCCCTTCGTGAGTCTTGGGGCCTCTTGCACAGTGGTGAGAACAGAAGAAACTGAAGCTCAGTGAGGGTCTTCAGACAAGAGGGGCCATAAATCAAGCTTCAGGATTCCCAGTCCAGGGCTCACCCTCTGCAATCAACTCTCCTCACTGTTTGTGGACAGGAGATGATTAGTAGATGTACCTTGCAAGGGTTAGAGACACCCGGGGGTCAAGATGGGGGCTGTTGGTTTGAGGCTTAAGAGGTCACTGGTGGAGGCACAGAAATGTGGGGGTAGGAGAGAGGGAAGTTAATGATCATGGGAGAAGAGGTCAGAGGTGGACTGGAGGCTGCTGGACCCATGAAAGGTGAGGAGGGTCCAACTCCAGCTCAAACCTGGGGGAGGGGGTTCATGGGAATAAGGACTAGAAATGTCCCCAGCCAGCTTTCAATAGTACAAAGGAGTGTCCTCACCCCTTTCTCCCCCCAGTTCTGGGCGATCCAGGGACAGGTAGGGGGTGAGAGAAAAGGGCTGGCCAGGCGTCTGGCAGACAGCTGAGGCATGCAAAGACAGGGTGGGGACCACTTCTCGGGTGAGGTTTAATGGGCTTTGCTGTCCCCACCCTTGCAGCCTACCTTCAGATGTGGCCCCCACACTGCCTATAACCAGGGTCCCAAGCCCTGAAGACGCAGAACAGAAAGCCAGGCCTGTCCCCAGCCTCCGTTCACGTGGAACTATGCTCAGCAGCGCAGGACCAGCCCCTAGTGACCTCCAACAGGACAACCCACCTGTGGGGCTAGACTTTGACATACCGCTGCCTCAGGAGCTCCCAGCCCAGTGCCCCACCCTGTTACCCCAACAGGACAGATGCACATCTTTATACCCCTCTAAGACTTCAAGGATCACTAACAGGGCCTGGAGAAGAGGGGACCAAGGCTGTTAACTCGCCGTGTGACCTCGGGGAGAACACTCCCTCTTGGGGCTGTAGGGCTACCAAGAGCTCTCCGCCTTAGTTTGCCCCTTGGCTTTTCAGAACTCAGACACAGGTTGCGGCCCGCGAAGGCCTGGCGGCGCGCCGGCCGGGTGTCTGAGGGTATTTGCTGGGGGTGAATCAGCTTCCGGCCCCGCCCAGGCGGCACGTGAACGCAGGTAGCGGGCGGGGCGGCTCTGAGTCACCGTCGCCTCTGCGTCCTCGACAGCCTCTCCGCCCCCCTGTCGGTAAGCGAGTTGGCCCGCGCCGCCGCTAGCCCGGACTCCGCCGCCGCCCTTCCTTCCGCCCAGAACCCTCCGGAATCCCAGCTGTTCCCCGAAAGGTCCACAAATTGCCGACTCCCAGGACCCGGTGCTTGAGATCCCTCCCTTCCTCCAGCTACCGGAATGCGAGCCCCCTCAGAGCAGCGAAGCTCATCGGGAGCTCCTGCCTCCCAGCTTGGGGAACTTTTGAGAAGTTCGGAGTCTGCCCTGGTCCAACCAGAAGTCGCTTAGGAATTCGGGCGGCTCCAGAGAACTATAGTACAGAGATCCCCGACTGATCCACGTACCCCGCCTTGGGCGTGCCGGCCCTTTCCCTCAGCCCCGCCCCGCTCCCCACTGTGTTCCGCAGCCCAGTTCAGACTTCGACTCTTTTCTTCCCGCCTTGACCCTCAGCCCCGCCCCTCCCCCAACTCCTTCCGTCCCTGGCCCCGCCCTCTGACCTGTCCCGCTCACCTGGTTTCCCTTCACAGGCTCCATGGACAGAGGCTCAGAGACGGCGGCAGGGCCCTAGAGCTTGCCGTGCTCTCCGGCCGGAGCCTAGAACTAGGATCCTACCCGTCAGGCTCTCTTGTCCCCCACTAACCCCTTACAGAAGCGCCAGACAGGTGGTACCATGGCCTTCTCCCAGGTGCAGTGTCTAGACGACAGCCACGTGAACTGGCGCTCCAGCGAGTCCAAGCCCGAGTTCTTCTACAGCGAGGAGCAGCGGCTGGCCCTGGAGGCCCTGGCGGCCCGCGGCCCCGAAGCATTCTACGAGGTGCTGAAGCGAGAGAACATCCGCGACTTCCTCTCGGAGTTGGAGCTCCAGCGCATCCTGGAGACCATTGAGGTGTATGACCCTGGCTCCGAGGACCCGCGGGGCGCTGGCGGGCTTCGGAGGCCGGAGGACGCCAGCGGTGAGCGCGAGGGGGCCAGCGAGGTGGGCGGCGATGCCCCCACGGCGACCGAACCGCTACCCTCACTGGAGTACTGGCCCCAGAAGTCGGACCGCTCCATCCCCCAGCTGGACCTGGGCTGGCCAGACACCATCGCCTACCGTGGTGTGACGCGGGCCAGCGTCTACATGCAGCCTCCTATCGATGGGCAGACTCACATCAAGGAGGTGGTGCGCAAGATGATCAGCCAAGCCCAGAAGGTGAGCAAGTGCTGGGCCAACTGTCTGGCCCCCAGACATCTCAGTCTCGGTGCTCTCTTAACTTGGAGGCCAGCACGGGTCCCCAGAACTGTGCCCAAGGTCCCATAGACCTTCCTGGAGAAGAGTTCTTCTCAGCTTTATGGGGCTTCTCAGTTCTTTTGCAGAGAAGCAGAGTGATTGGGTCCACTGGAGGTTGACAGTGGGCTGCCCCTGTCTCAGAAGGCTTTCATGCATTGTGTAGGGGAGAATCTGTTTTCCCCAGACCTGATGAGCAAATTCCCAGAGAAAGGTGCTGCAACTGGGTGGGCTAGGAAGAAATTGAGGCTGCTTCTCTCTCTCATCTTCTATGAGATGGCTCTGATTGACCCCCTGAGAAATAGGAAGCTCACACACACCCTATGAGCTCTCTAGTGTTCCTTCTGTTGGTTTAGAGAGAGTCCTGGGGCGGGGTGAGGTGCGGGGGTGGTAGTCATGGAGATTGAGAAGAGGCTTGAGTTCCTCTGAGGCTGGCCTGGAGGTCCTAGTTTAAATTTGGCTCTTCCTGGGTGTACTGGGTGACTGAGAGCCAGTTGCTTACCCTCTCTGAGCTTTTCTGTGAGCTTTGCAACAGCAAGACTTTTCCAGGCTGGGATACAAGGTGCAAGTGTGGCATGGTCCTCAGCAGTGGAAGCAGAGGGAGTGCAGCCAGGTATTGTCCACCTGGGTTGAATTTCACCGTTGGGAAGGACCTCAACGAAGCACTGTGTGGACATCCCCTTCACAACTCCTGCCAGGCTGTGAGGGACCCACCACAGTGCCCTGAGGGTGGGTAGCTGTTCTCTGCTGACACCCTGGCACACATTCTGTGACAGGGTGCTCATCACTTGCAGAGACAGCCAGGCTGAGCAAGTGCTTCTGCAGAACAGTGTCTTGTCATGGTATCATGGTTTCAAAGCACATCTGTGTTGGAAAGGATTCTGGAGCCAGGTATGGGGTCAGTAGACAGTTGTGATTGATTAACAGTGTCTGTCCTGGACTCAGGTTGTAGGGCAACATATTCCCAAACTGAGTCTTACTCAGGCCCAGATGGGGCAGTGACTTGCTGTGTGGCCCACCCTGCAAACTGACAGGGCCTAAGGGAGCTCTTAGGCTGAGAAACCACAAGTGGGTCAGGAGCTGACAAGGTAGCCATGGCCAGGTTTCTGGAGAGGTCGAGTCCCTTTCCCAAGAGGGGCTGGATGAGTCAGATAGCTAAGATCAGGGAGCCTGGCTCTCAGCCTGCCCCTCTCCCAACTTGCTGGCCACCCCAGGCAGCTTTGAGGCTTCGGTTTTCTGGTCTGATAACTGGGGGCAATGAATATAAAAGCTGTGTCTTTGAACTGTTGTGACGGTGGAATCAGGTGATGAGAGTGAGGAGGAGGAAGGGAAGTTTCATAGTTTTCAGGTTGCATAACCTGCCCCACACCTGCTATATGGTAGGAGGGCACTGCTGATGTCAGGGCTTGGTGGGGAATGGCTCCAGCTTGAGGTTGTAGAACCCAGTTCCCTGGGAGGACCTGCTGGGATCCCATTATCTAACTTCTACTCCTATTTTAAAAATGGGGAAACAGACTTTGTGTGGGTATGACCTGCTATGCCAGGGCTCCCCTTCCTCCATCATCGTCCCACCAGCAGTAGGAAGGAGGCAGACACCAGATGCCAGTTTGCGCTAGGAACAGCAGAAAGGTCTAATCTCCCCAGACAGAAAGATAGACGGCCTAACCTAGTGATGGAGCCAGATAGGGATGCCTAGGGCCAGACTGTGTCCTTGTGGCCTCCCCCTGCTGCCTTCTCCCACACACAGCTCTGCCCAGAGCCCAGGCCCAACTGTGCTATACAGTTCCTTGGGCCCCCTTAACCTCATTTGCTTCCCACAAAAGCTCCACAAGGTTGTCAGTGTCTAAGCCACGTAGCCAAGAAAAGTAGATCCCAGATTTGAACCCAGGCCTGCTGGGAGCTTCAGTCGGGGCCTCCTGCAGCCTCCCTGGCAGGTGGCCACTGCCCTTTTCTGTTCCCTACCTCTTAGGAAGGAAGGTTGGGCAATCCTACTTCCGTAGTGATACTGCCTCGGAAACCCAAGGAGGGGTCGCTATGAGTCGGGGCCGACTCAAAGGCAAACAACAACACCACCACCACCACCACCTCTTAGGATGGTACCCATCCCTAGACAGCAATGCTCCTGTGGGGAGTCCGAAAGGCCTGGTCAAATTAGGGTCAGTCAGAGGGGACAGAGGCCAGGCAACTTGTCTTACACATTGGGACACTGAGGCGCAGAGGAGTGTGGTGTGCTCAAGAACACCAGCCTGTTGGTAAGCCAAGCCCTCACATGTTTCCCTGTCATATCCATCCTAGGGCCTCTGGGGACCTGTGGCTGTCATTGTGTGCGTGGGTGGGCTCTAATAACACTAGCTGCTATTTACTGAGTGCTTAGCACTTTATAATCTCAAGAAGCATTATTTGCCCCATTTTTCAGAGGTAGAAACTGAGGCCCAACTGGTTAGTCCCAGCCCAGAGGGCACCCAACTCATTCCTAGGTGGAGAGGCAGGAACCGGCCTGTGTTGCCCTTAAACTCTGGGCCTTCTACCTGGCCCCTGGCAGTACACAGCTGACCCAGGCCACTGTAGTCACCCCAACTCCCCCATCTGGTTGCTTACTAGGCTCGCAGGGCTGGGCCTATGCTCTGACAAATGCTGACGGGGTGCTTTGCTTGCTTACCCGCCCACACCTGTTCACCCACCTGTCTGCGCGGGAGCTCCCCCTGCCTTACCTCTCCTCCTGAGTCACCCCTCATCCCCTTGCCCCACTTATTCCTCCCTCCTCTTGTCCTGAGTGCCAGTACAGGCAGAATGTCCTCCCTGAAGCCCAGAATGGGGACTCTGTTGTCCAAGCCCTCCCTGACCTCAACGAACTGGTCCTTCCCTACTAGGGCATTGGACTGGTTGCTGGTGTCGAGTCAGGGGCAGCCTCACAGCTCCTCACCCTGCCTTGTGTTGGCATGATGGCATGACCGGAAGACCCTGGGGCAGAGAAGTGACAAAGTACCTCTCAGCTACCCCAACTCAGCTGCCAGAAGGGGCTATGTTCCCATCACGACTGCTACCACGTCTACCCATCCCTAAATTACTCAAATTAATGGATGTGAGCAAGAGGAGCCAAGAGTGCTGGGGTCAGGTCCTTGCTCTGCCCTTATCTTGCTGTGTGACCTGAAATAAGCTCAGCTCTTCTCTGAGCCCTGGTCATCCCATCTGTAAAATGGATGCAGGCATTGGAGACTGTGAAGGGTCCCTGCCACTCTGATACCTGCTGCACTGTGGTCTAGACTTCTCTGAGACCAGGGACAGGCAGGTCCTGGTTCTGACTCCAACTGGCTATGTGGCCCTGAGCAGGCAGCTTGACCTCTCTGAGCCACCATCTAGCCCAGCTCTCTGAAATGGAAGGCCACTGCTTGTCTGATCCAGACTCCTTCCCACTTGCCTGCTTCTCCAGCTAGTGCTGGTTGCCTCCCCTCCCCCAGGCCCTGTATGCTGGTGATTTATCTGGGGAAAATCCTGCTGGGGGGTTCCAGCTACATACCAGAGGCTGGGCCTGTAGTGTCATGCCTGGGAGCACTGAGCCTAGTCTGGCTCCTGTAGCAGTAGCCGCCTCCAGGCAGAGAGAGAGGTGAGGCTCTGCTGGGGAGGGGCTGCCACAGCAGGAAAAGGGTAGAGATGTCTTAGCAAGTTGCTCTTCCCCCAGATGCTGAGACCTCTCCCACTCTCACAACATGGGACAAGACCCCTAGCAGCCCCTGGTAGGCCCCCTACTCCAAGTGGGACTAGAACCCAAATATCATGCCTACCAGCCAGTCAAAACACCAAAAACCAAACTCACTGCCATCAAGTCAGATCTGACTCATAGTGACCCTTTGGTGTTTCCAAGGCAGTATCGCTATGGAAGTAGATTGCCCAATCTTCCTTCCAAGGAGCGGCTGGTGGGTTTGAACCACCAGCCTTCTGGTGAGCAGCCTAAGGCACCTGGGAATGGACACCCAGAGAAGTATTTCTGGCCCAAAGCGACACTGCTAAGAAGGGCCTCCTGAACCCTGGTTTCAGAGAGCCTGGTAAGCCCACATCTTTGCTGTCAGGGCCCTGCCTTGACACATTGAAGTCCTGACTGGTTGCTTGGCTCTAAGAGAATAAAAACAGTTTAATGAGGCATTTATTAAATGACAGCAGTATGCCAGATGCTGAGAAGGCACTTTACCTGCATTGTTGAATCCTCATAACAACTCTATAAAGTGGGTGTTGTCACCATTGTACAGATGAGGATACTAAGGCTTGGTGGGGCTCAGAGAGGGTGGATAACTTGCCCAAGGTCACAAAGCTGGTAACTGGTAGAGCCTGGACCAGAACCTAGCTCTACAGGCCCTGGAACCCCCTACACGCACACACTTCCTTGGAAAAGCACTTGGCTATTCCTTCTGAGCCCTGCCTTTTAATTGGACAGCCGTGCCTCCTCCTGGCCTGTAAATCTTTATGGAAGGAGATTTCCCCATCTTTCTTCCACGGAGCAGCTGGTGGGTTTTAACCACAACCTTTTGGTTAGCAACCAAATGCCTTAACCACTACACCACCAGACTAATATAGTAAAAGTGTTTTCACAAGGCTTCCAGACAGCAGGCTCTCTGGTGGGGAGAAGACGGACCATGGCATGCCTACCATGGGAGCCACTGCCAGTACCTGCAGCCCTTCCTGGGGAACACGAGTGGGCCCTCACTCCACCCCTCAGCCAGTGGCCCAGAACAGCCCCCAATAGTGCGAGAGACCTGAGAGGTGGCCCAGTCAGCTGTCTTCAGGCACAGAACCCACAAGGGGTGTGTGGCCCATAGGCCTGTGCACAGGATGGGAGTTGCCCCAGCCTGCCCTGACAGAATCCAGCCCCAGCCCCAGGCCCTCCCTCACCTGTCAGGGTGGGAACATTCAGATAATATCATCCCATCCCA